GTGGTGGTGGTGATGATGGTGGTGGTGCTGGTGATGATGGTGGTGATTATGATGATGGTGGTGGTGGTGGTGGTGGTGGTGTAGTGGTGGTGGTTTTGGTAGTGGCAGCTAATATCTATTTGTGCTAAGAGCTCCACATATATCATCTTAGTCAGTTCGAACAATAACTCTAAAAGGTGGCATTATTTTTATCTTCATTTTTCAAAATAAGATAGACTTACTATAAAAATCTCATCGGGGTCACGTAGCAAATAAGTGGTGGAGCCAGATCCTCTACTCAGACAGTCTTATTCCAGAATACAGATTTTTAAGCCGAGTTTCAAGCTGAGTACTGAGTGTTTGCCTCCATGCTAGAGACTCAACATACGCTATCTCAGTTCAGTTAATGGATACTATAAGCCTCTTCTAGCAGATGAACAAATCACAACTCAAAAGAAATTATGGTTCTTGTCCAAGATTTCCCACCATTAAGTAGCTGAACTAGAATTTGAACTTATTTCAGATTCTCAGCTCTTCTCACTACATCCATTTACAACTCAGCCATAGCTTGGGGTTTGGATGGAGCAACAAATGCAGAACAGGCTGAAGCCCCACAAAATAGTTCCGCTTGTGTGACTGTCACACCTGAATAGGCTGAAGGTTTGATACATTGATCTGCAAATGGTATAAGTCATCTTTGTTTTCTAAAATAACTTCAATTTTAGGATGATGTTTGCTGTTATCCTGATGAATGGCTCTTGTCGTCGCCTCTAGTTCATTCATCAAATTTCTCAAGGCAAGGTTGAGCATGTGAACTAAAACATAGGCAAAGGGTAGAAAAAAAACCTCCTGGGGATTCTTCCCAAGGGGTCCACGCATAGTCCTCAACTTTTCTCTTTCCTGGAACATTGACTTTGCTTTTAATTCGCCAGCTTCCCAAATAGCTTTGTAAAACTGAATTCTTAGATGGGTATTAATGGTTTTGCATGGCATGACGTGTTACTATGTGCTATTGTACTGATATAAAATGTGGCAAAATATAGACTATGTTAAGTTCTTTAATCATAAAATCTATTAACAAAATGCACTCTCACTGTAGACACTGTATTAGCTTTCACTAACCATCGAAACAACTTACACGTGAACTGAGAATGATTTTGAGATAGCTTCAGAATCCATTTATGAACAGTGAAAACTATTTACCATTTTAATGGTTCTGACCACACTGTTCAGGACTAAAAAAGGCGCTTTGTGGGTACGGCCTTGCAGTCCTACACATTTATGGAAAACTAGGAAAGTATCTAAAAATTGAACACATTTGTCAAAGAGTGACCTTAGAAATCATCTCTGGGTAACAGGTGTACTTCTGTCTCCTGAGAAGGTTTGCTTCATCAGCAAATTTCTTTCGATCAAATCAGATATATTGAAATTCAAGTGCCAAAAGCCACTTCTAGTAAATGGAAGTACACATCTTTCAAAGTAGCTGCTGATGGAATCTGAAGTGGTTTGGTGGCAAACCACATGCTGCAGCACAGGTGCAAACAGCGGAGCCGCAGAAGAGAATACTACATGTCTTCGGGCTTTGAATTTCACTTTCACATTGGAAAGGGTATGGGGGCCGCTTCTGGCTAGACAAAATGGGCTACCATGATTGTACAGCTCAATCAATCTTATTTCAAGTACTGCTTATTTTTGCTTCTTAGTCTGGCTACTCAGTGAGTTTGGTTGGTGACCTCTTCAGATCTGTGGAATGTAGGCAAATGCAGACACTTAAAAGATTAAAGCATCTGGACCACGTCTCACTAAAAATCGATCAGGGTGGGCAGAATGTGTCCATCTCAGAATCAATACTTTCAGAAATGGGGTCCATGTTAAGTAGTATTGACCACGCCTCATTCTATCATTACCACTCTTTAGGACATATCATTAATAAAGTAATGTGGCCATTCCCCATTCCTCACCCTTACCCCTACCTCCCAGTATATGTCAAAGGTCATGCATCCATGAGGAAAAATAAGGTAACAGACACCAGGCAAGGAGAGATGATGCAAACATCAGAGATATGCTCAGGCAAGGAGAGATGATACAAACATCTGAGGTACACTCAAGCGAGGAGAGATGGTATAAACATCAGGGGTGTAACTTCAGAAATGAAGAACAAGCGAAAGGGAGAGCAGATAGCTTAAGGATGAAGGAGATAAAAGAACAGATACCTACCCAGACCTGCGCTATCTAGCTACCGGCCTGTGGACTTATATTATCAGCACTGGGCTCCCCACTGGGCTCCCCAAATGGATCACTGTTGGATGAGGCCTGTGACCCATCAGGCTAGAACACAAGAAGATAACACTTTTTTTTCTTTTCTTTTCAACATTTGAAAATATAAGACAGCTGAGCATACTTTCATGCAAAAATATCACTGATTATTTTAAAGCAGGCAAAAACTTCAGTTAGAGGATGCCACACCCACAAATGCAAGAATTTGTAGGAACAACTTAATGAAAGGATGTTTTTTCAGCTGCTCATTTGACCATAAAGTCCCTTAGTAACCAGTTTAGAATTTAAGCATCTGAGCCAGCATTCTTTTCTATGTAGGTTTCCTCATGCATTGCCCATTTCAGATATAGAAGTTTTGATTTTAAAGAAAAACAAATGCAGAATGAACAAATCACTTACAGCTTCTTGCTCTTCGCTTTTGCTGGGACTTTCAAAGCCCTCTTCGAAGATGTCATCTGTGGTAGGATCACTAGCATGGGATGCAGATGATTTGGATGGAGAGCTCTGTTTAGGGGCTGGGGTTGGAGCTGCACACAGACCATGCAAAGAGAGAAAACATCATAAGTGTCTGGTTGCAACCGTGTATGTCCAACAGAAACCTCAGGGCTCTAGCTATGTTTAGGTCAAATCACTGGGCTCCTCTTCCAATTCAGGTCCAAACAGTTGCACAGTTTAATATCTCCTCCGTACGAGTTTATCTTGTCCTTTCACATACTTGATGGTCAGGAAGGAGCTAGTCCTCACGGATGGGAAAGGTAGTGGTTCTGAAGGGGATGGTCCCTGGATCAGGGACATCAGCCACATCTGGGTGCTTGTTATAAATGCAAATTCTTAGACCCTAGTCCAGACCTACTGAATCAGAAAGTCTGTGTTTCTGTACCCTCAGGTTAAGAGCCACTGGACTCTAGCTTTCTTTCTTCTCTCTTAATAGCATACAATTAATTCAATAAGAATAAATAGATCAGAGGACAATGATATACACTGAGTGCCTACTATGTGTCAGACACTGTCAGAAATTTTCCAGACAGCATCTCTAACCCTCACAAAGCCTCTTTGGGGTAAGGTTATCCCAATTTTACAGATAAGGTAAGTGAAGATTGCTAAATTACTCCAGGCCACACAGTTGGCAACTGGTAGAATCAGGCTTTATATCCTGGCACATAGTAGGTAACCATGTGCTGAATAGTGCCTCAGTGATCCGAGGAAACTGATGTAGCAAATGGCGACTTCACAGCTGACACTGTATTCCTCATTCTATAAGGGTATGCATTTTCTGTCCTGACTTTCCAACATTTTCCTGGTCTCATTTGTTCCAGAGGTTTATAACAAGCCATTTGAAACTATTCTTCCTTCAAAAATTTCTAATTTGGCATAGAAAATACTAGTCATTGGCTCAGACCCAAGTGAGGGGTGGCGTGGCTCTAATTAGCAGCTGAATTTCAAATGCTATTGATAAGGCCTCCCTACTATAACTCTTCAGAATTTACAAAATCTGGCTGTTTATCAGACAGTGGGTGAATATAAAACTTGATGAGCTCCTTTTGCCTTGATGAATCTATATTTAGAATAACAATGCTGTTACTGTGTGCCAGCAAGCTAGACACTGTGCTAGGCACTTTGCATTCATTATGTTCTCTAACATAAACACTGCAAGATGGTATTGTAACTAGTTTTTTGTTTCTGTTGTTTTCTGATGAAGATATTGCAGCTCAGAGAGGTGAAGTGACTTTCTTGAAGTTAACACAGCTATGAAATAAGAGCACTGGTGTTTAATACAGGTCTGATATTGACCATTCAACTCTACTTTTCTATTCCTATTTTGAGTTTATTTTTGGTCCAACTGATCCTCCACTCAAGTCATTCTAAAGGTGATGCTGATGCATAAGAGGATAGAAAGGCTGGTTTCACTAATTTTCTTTAAAATAAAATATTAAGTTTTTTCTCTAATTTAAAAGTAAGTCTGTCTTGTTTCATTGATGATTATGAAACAAATCAGTTACACTGGGTTTAAGTGAGATAAACTATAACATCCCGATAAGTGGTAGACATTTAAATTATGAGTGTAATTTGATTCTGGATTTTGTTTGATGTGGTTTAGTGCTTACTAAAGGCTGAGAATCCCAGTTGGGCTGCCAATTCTGAGAGAAATACTGTTCATACTTATCAATCTGGGGCAATTTCACTCCCAGGGGACATTTGGCAATATCTATAGCCATTTTTAATCATTATCACTAGGGATCAGATGTGTTCTCCTGGCATTTAATGGGTAGAGGCCAGAGTAGCTGCTAAACATCCTGCAAAACACAGGATAGACTCCCACAATAAAGAATTATCTGGCCCAAAATATCAATAGTGCCCAGGCTGCAAAACCCTACTCTAAAGTACGACAGTAAATGAGTGGCTTTTGTGTTGTTTGTTTCATTCTCTGCAACCTTTCCCAAACGTTTCCCATGTGCTGGATGCTAGGCTGGCATTATGAGCAGTGCAGAAACAATTAAGATGTATTCCCTGTCCTCAAAGAACTTAAACTTCAATCTTTTATCTGTAGCTGACACATTGAGAGAGAGATATTTGTTTTCAAAAGATGCCTGCTCATTTATGCATGGCTGTCATTTATTTAACATTTCATTTTTTATTCATTATTCTTCACTGAAACTGTGAGTTGTAGTTAATAGAGATGCCCCCGCTATGTAGATCATCTGGCCTGAGTGGAAGTAGGTTGTTTATACACATCGAAGGCATTCATTTTCAGAATAGCATTCTGAGTCTGGCCGAAATGACACTATCTAATTATGTTAACATTAAATATTTTTTGATAATTCACAGTATTGGCCAAGCAGTGATCCATATCATGTGTGACAGTAATGAAAATGCCAAACTCATTGTTCCATGAGTCTTTTTTTCCCCTTATCAACTGTCAAGGCACCTTCCCTGAATAGTGCTGACCAAGCATATATGTGCTCAAGAGTATCTGGATTCTGACTGGCTGCATGGTTCTGGTTTTCCAGATGCCTTCAGTAGAAAAGTGAGCTGGGGAAAAATCACTGAATGCCGGAACTGGAAGGAGGCACACTGCCTGTCACTTATTTTACCCATGACACAGCTGAGGTTAAGAGAAGTCACATGATTATACAAAGGCACAGCTTGTGGTGAAAGAGCCAAGATTAGAAGCCTGGTCCAAGACACTCAATATGCAGTAATAATGACAATGAAAGTACTTCCGACTCTGTGAGGTATATAGTATTTTAGCACATATACCACTGAGTCCTTTTAATAACTCTTAGCCTAAAATAGATGAGGAAATTGAGGCTCACAGAAATATAGGGACTTGCACGTAGGCACAAAACTAGTTAAGTCACAAAGCTGGTGTTCAGGTTTCCAGTCCAGAGCTTCCTGCAACACCACCATTTTTTCTCTTTGACTACCCTAAGCTTTGAGTCAAAATCTGGCTTCAGCTATACCAGTTGTAGGAGGCCTTAAGTTTTTCTGCCCTAAGTTTTCTCCTGATCTTATTTTCTACTCTAGTTTTTTATCCTTCTTCCTAACAAATTTTAAATTCACATACACCGTTCATTTTATTTCAATGAGCCATATGGAAATCTCTGTGTCATAATGGAATATACATAAATGAATAAATGAATGAGCAAATGAACAGAAACTTAAGAGACAGCATGACATGGTAAAAAACAAACAAAAAAAACATAACAGGCTAGTATTCAATTCTACCACTTTGCCTATTTTTGTCTCTGAATCTCCCTTTCATTATCTGTCAAACAGGTCTACCGAAACTTGTCATAGGCATTGTTATGAGTATAAAAATAATAAAAAGCATGTAGAGAAGGTGCATATGTTATAATTGGTACCTAATATTATCAGTAGTAGTAGTAATAGAAACAAAGAGTCCTGTTGAATGTAACAGATGAGTTCTCTGACCCCGGAAACAAGGCATCGCTCTCATTGGGTTTATAAACGGCACTCACGTGAGTTGGTCGATGGCGTGGTAGAAGTCACAGGGGTCAAATTCAACTGGGAGATGTCAAAGTCATCACAGTCATCTGTATCCTGTGCCACCCCGACTTTGTTGAAGTAACTGGAGAAGGCCTCTGAGGTACAGGTGAGGGAGGGTTGGTCGGGTTTGCGGGAGGGCACGGGTGGAGGCTGGGCCATCTGGAAATCCTTAAACATTTCTTTCCCCATTTTCTGCCTGGGCTTGCCGGTCTGTGGACTTGACCTGGTGGAGTCACCCGTGGCAGGGACAGTTGCAAGGGGGGTGAGGGGACCTTGGAACATAGCGGCTGGCAAAGACATAACAGTTTGTGTGGGCATGAAGGCGGCTGGCGGAAACTGCCCGGCCACAGTTGGCCAGGGCTGCTGAGTGGCAGGGAAGAGACCCGGCTGGCCCCATGCGATGGGCTGAGCCCCCGGCATCACCTGAGCGACTGGTGGCTGAGCACCCATGGCGATCTGCTGTTGGACGAGGGGCTGCTGGCCCCAGAAGGACGGGAGGACAGTGCCCATTGCAACATAACCTGGAAGGGTGAAGAAGAGTAGTCAGGCATCTTGGGAAAGAATAATTCATGGAGTCAAGTGATTGGCAAAAAGGGTACGAAGCAGCTACTAAGTGGCAGGCTGTGTGCTAGGGGCTGGGGATGCAAAGATGACTAAGACAGAAGTTCCTGCTATCACAGAGCCTGCGTACTAGAGCAGCAGCCATGGAAATCTCCCCAAAGATATGCCTCACAAGCAGAAATGACAATGAGGTGAGGGAGCAAGCCAGGCAGATATCCAGGAGGTAATAATAAATATTGCTAGAGTTGTTACAGGTTTCTGATGTCACATGGCTTCAGGAGCCTGTGTGTCTCAGTGGAAATGGCAGAGGACTAGAAGCCAAGCATATCTGGGTTTGACTCCTGCCTCCCCGTCTTGCTAGTCCTAGGGCTTCACAAATGCTTATGCTAAGAGAAAGGCTCTTTGTTGTAAAACCGGGTTAGAACCTCTTACTGTTGAGAATCGAAGCTGTGTGCAAAGTGAATGAAAATCGGAATGTTGGAGTTTTAGTGGCCAGGGTTGAAAATCAAACAGCCACTTCTTATCAACGGGATTTGGGGAGAGCTTAGAAAGCTCTCTAAGGGTCTCCTTGTCTGTGAAATGGGGCTAAAATAAGCATTGGTGCTGACATTTAAAACTTGAAATTTGCTTACACTGCCTGTTGCCTTTGCCTATCATACAATCATGCAGTGAGCTGAACCTACTAACAGACTTAAGAATTCTGCAACTTGTTTTTCTGTTGTTTTTCTTTGATGAGGCTCAGTGGTTCTCAGTGGGAGTGCTACCACCCCTTACGGGATGATTAGGAAATCTGTGGGGTGTGTTTTGGTTGTCATGATAACTTGGGAGGAGGGGACACTACTGGCACTGAAGGGGCCAAGAGCATTGATGCTAGACATCCTTTGATGTGTGAGACCAACATGCACAGAAAAATACTATCTCACTTTCTGTTTATGATTATTCGAACATAGACAAAACTTTGAATTACATGGAAATTCAAAGTTTATTCGCACGGTTTTACTGCACTTAGTTTTCCAGGAATGTAACGACTGCGTACACTGAGGGGAGACTGTTACTTTGTTTTGTTTGGAACACCATCAACAGTTTTTCACCAATTTGGAAAATCGTGGTCCCTAACAGAAACACTTCTTGTGGTGTTTGAGCCAACATGACACTCCTGTATCGGTCTGTACCTGTGATGATTACATTTCCAAGTATACACACCTGACTACTTAGCACGTCTTCCAGTGTGGTTGTGCCTTATTGAAATACATACGTTTTTATTATAGTTTTCTCTTATTTCCTCCTTACTACTAAGCCATCATATCGATTTTTGAAAAACCGTATAGATAGGCTATATTATCTTTCATTTTATAATACTACAAATATGTTATAAAAGGGAGCACTGAACCTGACAGCATGCAGACCTGCCCATGGACCTTTTGACCATCCTGACCCTGACGTCCCTCTTGGTAAATGGATGAAAGGCTTCAGCCTCCCTCCAGCACATTTTTTGCTTTGCTTCTATTCCACCCTCCTCGATGCCACCAGAGGACTGATCTAAAATGCAAATATAGTGATTCATTGTCTTGAGTATCAGGCTCAGATGCCTTAGTTTGGCTTATGAGCCTTTGGGGGTCAGCCTCCTCCCCAACACTTCATCTTCATTTTCAATTCTTATTCCCACTGGCAACTTTTCCTGCAGCAACTGCAAACAACACTCAGTCTGCCCTCTGGTCTCTGCTGGTCCATCTGCCTAGAAAGCCATCTCCACTTCTTCATGTGGCTACCCCTTATTTGCACTTTGAGACTCAATTAGTTCCCTTCACTGGGCTTCAACAGTCCTCGTGTTCATCTTCTGCATGTCACTTGTTACACTGCCTTGTAATTGCTCGGTTACTCCATCTTTCCTCAGTAGACTAGGAAGGAGCCCTTTATTTTATATCTCTCCTCACTCTGCATCTAGCGCAGTTTTGGGCACATATTAGCTGTCCCATAAATGCTTTAGACTGCAAAAAGGCTCTATATTAAAGGTGAATGAGTCATAGTAGAACAAATGCCTTCACTGCATTTTTCCAAGTATACAATTAAACTCCAAGACCTGTAAGTGCTGTGATCTCTGATGATTTCACTGTTGGTGGCAGGTTTTTTTTTTTTTTATCCTGTCTTTTTTTTCCCCCCCACAAGGAACCAACAGATGGGCTGTGTACACTTTTCTAGAGAGAGCTATTAGCATGTCTCTCTGGCTTCATGCCATCTGCTTCAGACCAAAGTACGATATTCAAAAAAAAAAAAAAAAAAAGGCGTGCCGTTCCCCACAGTCTTCCTCTCTTTTCTGAAAACTGCACAGCCGTTAGTAGGTACATCTAAGACACACACCTGCTCAGAAGTCCCTGTAGTTTTGTTTTAATTGAAACCCGTTTAAATTAAGTTTAGCTCAAGGCGTGGCCCCGCAATGTCATCTCAGCTGCCCACGGGCTTGTCCAGAAAAGATAGCGAAGAACGCAGTATGATAACCAGACACAAGAAAAGAATGTCTCCCGATTATCAGGAAAGCTCATTAGACGGGGACCTCCATCTGTGTATGCCATGGAGTTCAGATCAATCACCTACCTCCTTGCTGTGAAGTGAGAGGAAACACCTGCATTAATGCCTTGCAGTTAGATTTTTAAAAAGTGCTGAGCTGAACGCTGTATAACCAGATGCTGGTACCTGGCGATACTCTCATTATTTGAAAAGAAAAAGAAAAACGGAAAAAGCAGACTAAAATGTAAGAAAAATAATAAAAACTAAGAGACTCCCCCAACATGTATTGAACTTGCATGGTGCCTCTTATCTACATTATTTCTTTCATTTGATAGATTATTGATTGATTGATTGATTGATTCAGAAATATTCCTTCTGGGTGCCAAGTACTGTTTTAGTCTCTAGAGATGCAATGAAGAACAAAACAGTAAAAAAAAAAAAAAAAAAAATCCTTGCCTGAGTGGAGGTTGCATTTTTAGAGAAACTCTATTTTCCTGAGGGGAAGGTAGATGCAGCTACACAGAGCATGCGTGGCAGAGCCGGGGTCCCTGACGGACAGGGTAGTAAACATTAGGTGAGTGCTTACTTATGTAAATACTGCCAGGCACTGTTTTAAATGTTTTACTACATGTATTAACTTGTGCAATCCTCAGAACAACTCTAAAAGGTGGAATTCTTATCCCTGTTTTACAGATACCTTTCCTGAGTCCCCGAAGAGATTTGGCTGAGTATTTATTACACAGCTGGTTAGTAGCAGGGTCTCCAGGCCCCTCAGACCAGCTTTGCTATGCACAGTCAAGAGGCCAAAGACCTAAATTTCATTATTTCCTTTTTAAAAAACATTTCAAGAAGGTAAAGGAAAATAAAATAGGTAGGACAAAATATATTTCTCCTACTTTAGAAATCAAAGTAATAGTGATAATAGCATTTTCTACATAGAGTATCTAAAATGTGCTAACATTTTCCAATGCACTTAACTTTCTCATTCAGTCCTCAGGATATTGTTGCAAGGTAACTATTAGTTTCAATTCAGTTACAAAGATGACGAAACTGTGCCTCCGACAGGTTAAGTAATTGGCCCAGGGGTCTAAAGCTTATAAATAAGTGGCTGAGTCAGGATTCAAACCTAGTCCATTCTATGCCTTAGTGTCCCATAGCCAGTCAGCTGTACTGCATACCCCAGCTCATTTCCCTGTTTCCCCATCACTGGCTCTACAATTAGGGACAAGTAGGTAGAGATTCAACAGCTGCAGTGATTTTAAGGCCAGTTAAGGGAGGAAAAGGGCGGAGAGTTCAATACCAACTAAAGCCCAATTTTGTTCCTCACCATATTTTAAGAAAGTAAAAACATACTAATTGAAATTAATTTTAGATTTACGTTCTAAAAATTGGAAGCGTGGAAGTGACCTACCTATTTTTATTATCAGTGTATTTTTTAGCAGAAACCAAATTTCAATGTACAGAAGTAAGGCTTGTCTGTAGTTTGAAACACAACTGGTCAACCAGCAAGACTAAGATCTAGGCCTCCAAAGCCCTCATCTGGCACAGGCCCAGAGCAGTACCTGGCATGGCTGCTTCTCATCAAACATTAGGGCTGGAACACATAGGTGATTGCATCCGGTCCCACCCTCTCACTTACGGAGGAGGGGATAGAGACTCGAAGGGGCCAGGTCATTCCTCTTCTGCCTGGAGTACTCTCAACCCCAATCTCTGTTGGCTCCCTCCCTTGCCACTTCCAATCTGGCACATCTCACCTTTGCATGAGCCCCTCCTGACTACAACCTCCATTTATACCTGCCTTCACCGGCCCCGAACCCCTATACCTGCTCTACATTTTCTTTTTGTCCATACTACTTAGCATTTTCTAACATATTATATAAGTTACTTGTTTTCATGTTGTCTGTTTCCCTAATAGAAAGTGAGCTCTCTGCGGGCAGGGGTCTGTTGTATTCCCTGACACACTCCAAGCACCTAGGATAGAGCCTGGGCACTCAGTGAATAACCATGGAATGATTGTGCCTGGAGTTCCCATCACCTGTGCCAGAATATCTTCATGGATCAAATGATGGGGGCAAAGCATAGGCATTGTGATCATAAGGCTGAAGGCTGACGAAGTGGTGCATTTTAGATAGAAAACTGTTATTCTTATTTAAAATGACATTCTATTACACTATTCTCAAGGAAATTTTAATATCCATTTTAGGTAAGGAAAACCAGTCATCACCACCATCCCATTTTAGAGATGGGTAAAACAGAATCAGCTGGGAAGCTCAGCAATTAAATAAATTTCTAAGCTATTTACGTCTAAATTGTAAGTAGATTCAGTGGCTCTCAAACTCTTATCGCTTCTTAAATCTCATAATGATCTCTGGACTCATGAGGAATAAGTGTAACTACTTCAGAACAGAGTATAAATTTTTAATTCATTTTGAATAACAACAAGGTTTATATATGGCAAGAATTTGCTTCTAACAGTAAGTAACTAAAAGTCATTATTTATAGAAAATGCAAGATTTATATTCGAAAATATTTAAACTCTATTTGCCATTTATAAGAACAAAGTAGAAGGATGAAGCCACAAACTTCAAATATGTAGTTAAAGAAAGCAAAACAGCCTTTAAGGCTCCCAAGTCTGTAAAAAGCAGAACTAATACCACCTTTGGTCATGTCTAAGTAAAGTTGGATGCCATGGAAACAAATTGCCTGTGATCCTGCCAATTTGTAACTCACCTGAGATACTGTTACTATATATATTTTGCCCTGTTGTAAAAGTAGTATATACATTTTAAAAAATATTTGGAAAACAGAATGCTTTCTAAATCACTAAAGGCCTCATCGTCCTCCCAATTCACTGTTAGTGGTTTGCTCTGTTCCTTAGGTTTCTGAGGTGAGGAACCTCCCCCCTCCTTTCATCTCCACTAAATAAGGCAGATCCCATCAATCAGTCAGGTTTCAAGAGGTCTGTGGAGAGCTGATTCATCCATCTCCTCTCTACTCACTGCCGTTTCTCCTTCTGGCTGAGATGGACAGGAAGAGCCGGACTTGCACTGATTCACACGGATATGTGCGCATCAAGCTCCCTAAAGCTATACACCTGAGCAACCTGGAATCCTGAACTTTCCAGATGAAAGACATCACTGAATCCCAGCAGGACACCGAACTTTTGTAAATATCACCCCCCCTCTCCCTATGGCAGCTTCTCAATGTCACTTGAAGAGTCACAGAAGGGAATGGTAATTCCACAGGTGTTCTGGCATACTTTGGCAGCTGGTTCAGTCAACCCTTTCTCTTTCTTGACGAATACAGGCTGAAGGAAGGGAGGCAGATGGAAGAGGGCTTACCTGAGGGTACAGCAGCAGTGCCGAAAGGTACAGAACTAAACATGTCTGCACTCGCTGGAAGTGTCTGAGATGAAGACGGGATAAAGGCATCACCTGGAGTTGCAGGAGTCTGTCAGACAGGAAGAGACAAAGGGTACGTGAAGCTCCTAGGAGATGGCTCATCAAGGATGGAAGGCAGCAGGTGCAGGAATTAAGAGTGTGTGTGTGTGTGTGTGTGTGTGTGTGTGTGTGTGTGTATGAGTGGCGGGGATTGTGTGTGCTGCAGAAGCAAGGCACATTCTAGGCCTGTTACGTGGTATGCAAGTCAGGAGCTGTTTACACAGATTATACTTACCTCTTGGGCTGCCGTGAGGATTAATGAGATCATGCATTTAAAGGTTTGATACCATTCTGAGGCATGTAGTAGGTACTCAGAAAAGGATGGCATTTGCTAGTATTGTGACTATTTAGTTTGAGCAACAACCTCTTGGAGGTGTTTTCAGACCTTTAAAAACATCTGACTTTCAGCCTTTAGACATGGTCAGTTCAAACTGACATATACCCACTCAGGAACTACTGTGCGCCCAGCTCAGGGCTTGTCATGTAATATGTGCTCAATGAACAATCATTGACTAAATGAACAAATAGTGTTTAGCAATAGGAGCAGAGGTTCCTGTATCTTGGTGCCTCCTAGAATTTTGCCTGAATCTTCACTTGTAAAAAGAAGTAAATATTTTCCAGAAGATGATAAAATAAAAAACAAAAACAAAAACAAAAAAACACCTGAGCAGCTGCAAGCTTTAAGTGCCTGGCCTATGCTAGAATTTCAGAAAGGTCCGCTGCATGAACTATTAGGTAAGATGAGGAGTATTGAAATCAAAAACATCAGTATGCAGTTTCTTTATAGAGATCTGCATCCATTTACAGAAGCCTTTTGCCTACAGAGTTTGTCTGTCAGATGCTACAATATCCTTATTTTCCCCTTAGGATAGACTGGGGCAAGCAATTAATCCTGAAACCATGGCAATCAGACAAAGCCATTTTTAGACTAGCAGCTTGTGGAAAGAATGGCCTTGTTCTGAGGATAACTAAATACCCATTTGGACTGCACTTAGGTTCGGGGCCAGAAACACGGCCATGAGATGCAGCATTAAGCACTTTTAAACACAATCAAAGCCATTCTCTTTTTCCCTATGTCACCTTGGGTGAGTCACATGTTCTGTCTGGGACTCAGTTTGCTCATCTGTAAAATGAGGGAAATAAAGTTGGAAGATCTCTTCAAGCCTTTCTAGCTCCATAGCCCTAGAGTTCTGAGATTCCAAGTACCCAGGACGCAGCTGTTCCCTCTGGGGATGGAGGAGAGAATGACGCTGGCTAGAGCTGTCCAGCTTCCCTGGAGACAGGAGCTGCTGTCCCCTCCTTCATGGCTGCTCTGGACATCAGGTGTTGGGAGCAGGACAGCTGTGCCTAGATTCCCTGGCGGCAGCTGTGGACAGCAGGGTCTCGTGCCATCTGTCCTCTGTGGTGAGGTTACAGCCTTTTCTCTGTGAGGCACATCTTGCCAATGAACCATAGCACCATCCCTTGGTTTGCACAACTGCACAGTGCCCCGAGGAGCTGCTGCTCCCAGCAGCTTCAGCTGGTGCAGCTGCGTCTGACTGCTCCCCGCCCACTTCTGGGGAGTGGGCACGGAAGAGCTGGAGAGGCCATCTAGGCTGGCTCTGTTGTTTGCAGGGTGGCCTTTGAATGCATCCAGTTCTCAAAGCGCTGGGCTTCTATTTTGCTTTGTTTTTAAATCCTTTATTTTCTTCTTTTGATTTTTAAATGAAGGCTTCCTGCAATCTCTGTCTCCTTGCAAGCAATGAGTGAGATACATACTCTGGCTGAACCTGGAGCTGATAATCCAAAGCTTCCTGAGAAGCTTAGTAAAGCCAACAGGCAGGTTGGGGTGGGGGTGAGGGTGGGGGAGAAGACGGGCAGAGGAAGGAAGGGAAGGACAGAAAGGAGTGGGGTAGAAGATGCTTCCTTTATTGGGCTGACCACCTGGCAGTGTCGGTCCTGGGTAAGGGCTGTCAAAT